TTCTGAACTTTTTCGGTGCTTTTCTCCTGCCAAAAACCCCACTGCTTCTATAGCTCTGTGCTGATGCGGGAAGGGGAACCTGAACACCTCGTGCAGCAAGTTAATGCTCTGCATCACTCAGATGGGAGAGAAGTGTGCTGAGCTTGAAAGCTTACCTTTTYTTTTTTTTTTCCAAGTGTATCACTTTGTCTAATAAAGCACATGACCTCCCTCTATAAACAATACCTGAACTTAAGATGACAGCATTGATTTAATCATGTTTGTCTGAATTTCTACACTTCACTCTAAGGTTCTTTGATAAAAAAGATTAGGAAAACAAAATTTTCTCTAATTTCTGCTTTTGTTTACTTAGACGTTTSACAGTGCTTTCAGCGTTACAAGTTTCATTGTTTCATCATGCCTTTATATTTGTGAAACTAGAAAAATGTGGTTGTTAAACCACAAGAAATGCTAAGGGGAACTAGAGGCAGACAGACTACTTCTGACTCCTTTAATTCTGTGCACATATACACACCCTTACTTATACACACATGTATGAACACATAGAGATCTCAGATCCACTGTGTTCTTTTAAAACAAGTTTTGCAAAACCAATGCTGCATAGCAAGAAGTAGAGCAGAGCCAAGGCCAGCTCAGTGCAGTAGGTATATTTTCAAAACAGCGTGGCCATACAAAATGCAGACATGGCAGGTGGGGAAACCCATCCGTGGCAGGCATCAGCAGGCCTCTGTGTAAATTATGTCTTCTTCCTACTGGAAATATCTACAAAATAGTGTCAGAACCGATGACCTAGAAGACCCCAAGCACTGATCCCATTAGATTTCTAAGACGTGATATAAAAATACAGCCCCTCCCACTCCAGATTCTTAGTTCTCACGTTCGGCTGCCACATGGGAGTTAAAAAGCCAACGCACTAAGGCTAAGTTCTAAAGAGAGCTCTTTAAAAACACAAGAGATGCGATTAATTTGTGCATTATTTAAGGCTGCCCCAGGAGGGAGGCGGTCAGAGCAGCGATGCGAGGAGCCGAGCGCGGCGTTGACAGCCGGCGCCACGCACAAGGGCGCGAGGTGACGGCTGGCGTCTCCTCTGCTGTCTTCCAGCAAACAAGACATCAGCAGAGAGGCGCTCCTCACCCCGCAGGCTCACTGTGCTTACAGGATGCGGCACCAAAGCAGGACATGACCCTGGCCACCAAGCATGAGAAATGAAATGAAAGGAAACAAAACAAAACAGGCTCTACACAATTTAGAAAGTTGGTTGGTGGTTTCCTTTTTGTTTTTTTCTGGGCCATTCTTTATTTCCTCCAGGCGGTAAGGAGCAATTACTGCTCTCTTCACTACTGCTTCCCCAGAAGATAATTGCAACGTTTAGCAAGTACCTGATTCTGCATTAACCTTATCTCTCAATATAGAAATGTGGACTTTCAACTGTAGCTTCCCAAAAAAAATCCAGGTTATCACAAGAAGCAACCAAGCACAGAGCATGTTCCAGGGACTACCAAGCTGCTGGGTGTAACGGATTTTTACTGCAACTGAAGAGTGGTTTGTGGTATCAAATATCCGCATTAGCTGCCAGCTTTCGGGTTGACTTGCCTATAAACTATTTCTCCTTCCACTGCTGCAAGGGAGCCCCAACCAGTTTCTGTATTTCCCTTCACTGGGCATGAACCCCCTTTGAGTGCAGACCAAGTCAGAGCCAGACAAAGATGTTATGCAGAAGAAAATGCCTAGCACATGCGCGTGGGAAAATTGAGCGATGTAGCACTGTGAGCAGCGCAGCTGGGAAATGCCTATGCGATAACCAGCCTTCTCAGTCAATTATACTAGTAAAACCTCAGCCACGGTTAGTTACAAAGCCTTGTAATAAAATGTGACAGACTTCAGATATCAGCTTCTCTCTGCACATTTTAAGATTGAAACTGTCCGAGAAAAAAATGGTCTGATTTATTAAATCCGCTGATCAAATCAGCTGCACAGATTGGCACAGGATAAATGAAAGGAGCTGTAGTAGTAATGCTGTCTTTGATCAGCCACAATTTTGTCTGAAATTCAATGCTTTTTTCCTCCTCCCCCCTTGGACCGATTATCTTAGGAACATGAATAGCAAAACCAAACACCATCCTTCTTGTGACCTTGAAGACTGAATGCAGCAGAAAGGGACAACTTGTTTAGCATTCCTGAATGAAAAGCAGCTCTTTTGGATCCTGCAAAGCCTCATGGCATGAATTTCCAAATATGCACCTTCTCTTCTGGAGAGCAGGAATGAAGCTTAGCAATGGGCTCTACACAAGCGACCTGATTTCATCTTCTGCTGACTGCACCGTTCTCATCACAGCTCTCATTGCCACATCCTTTCTGCAGCTGCATTGCCGCTGCTGGTTACAGCAGTGCCCAACGGCAGCCCAGCACACACACGTGRGACTCATCATTCCCATATGGTGCAGGGTGTGTGGAGATCCCCTGAACACTGCCCAACCACCCCACAATCCATCTTACAGAAAGGCTAAAGACACAAGACACAGGCCAAGGTCAGCAACTCTCACACCTTGGCTTCTTAGAAGTGTTTCGCCTTAAAAAAGCCATCACATACGCAGACAGAGAGATGTCTGTTTGCATGTGTGTTTTATTAGGCCTTGGCGAGCAGTGGAAGAGGGTGGATACAAAGGAAACATATGGGCATCACAAAAGAAAGTCACATTTCAGTTGGACATTATGAAGAACAAGATGGTTTTAGATCTGACCAGTCACAGTGATTTCAGTTAGAGTATTCTGGATTTACAACACTTTAGCAAAGGTCATGTTCTGGCCTAATTAAAGTCAAAATAATAACTGGAAAAAATGAGTAGCTGATAATCATCCTTCTGTTRAAGTCAAATAAAAGACCCATCTGCACCCTGCTTTCTGAAATTTGGCAGACGTGGCTTCATGCAAGCTGCTATATAGCTGCTTTCATGAACGTATCAGGAAATTTGAAAGCAGCTAAATATATACGTGCATGTGTGCCCCAAACGTCAAAACCAAATTAAAATGCAAATCTGATCATTAGGAAGTCATTTTTCATAATACAGAGTGAACTGAGATTGCTGAAGCAGGGGGAAAACAAAGTAATGACATTTTCTTCCGTAAAGCAAGGTCTTAAACAGTAGAATTTCTATGACAGAAAATTATACCTATTATCTTCATTCTTTTAAGCAATCTGCTCTCTACTATAATCACTGGAGTGGTATTTTAAAATTCCATTTTTGCTGCTGCTGTGGCCACCCCCACCGGCAGCCTCACTACACAGGATTTGCAAACCTGCAAAAACAGGTACATTCAAAACCACTTCATTCAAATCCCTCTTCCGCTCAAGCCCCCTCAGTTGTTTTAAAAAATTGTTTTAGACAAACTGGGAAGAGGTTAAGGGAGTTAATTTCCATTAAATAACATGAGCTTTTAAACCAGGAGAGTGCTGAGAAAATGTGAAACAGAATGTCACCCTGGCCAGAATGCCCTTCTTTAAATGCTTCATTTCTGGTGCCAAACCTTTAACAAGGCAGGCTTCTTAAATTCAGTGGGGGTCAGGAGTTTAGTTTATTCAGCAAGAATAACACTATTAACAGCTACCGCTCTTTSATGTCTCCACAGTTAACGCCCATGCATTCCAGCCCTAGTTAATACAGTCCAGTCAAGGAAAATTGGAGCTGCTAAGGGCAGTCATCTCTGCAGGGAGATTTTAAAACAGAATTTATACTGTGCTTTAAAAACAATCTAAAAGGATCAATCTACCTTATGAATCTGCTGTAGACAGAGACAGAGAGAAAGATGGATGGAAGAGAGCATATAAAAGCAAGTAAATCTGACTCTCTATATTGATTTTTGAGAGGACAGTGTAAGAGCACTTTGGTGAGGTCTTATATATCACTGGAAAGGACCAAATGCCACTGTGCATATGTCTGAAGGATGTCAGGATTTATCATGAAGCAATGCACCGCTGTATTCTTTCATTATGTCCTTTCGTAAATAACCTTGTTTTCATGACTGAGGAAGGTAGATCACTGCAAATTACATACTTCTCAATACAAACAAGGGCAAACAATTGCGGGAGGACTCTCAAGCAGCTGGAACTGCCACTCTTAAAACTCAAATTGCAGGAGCTGAAAGTACACATTCAATATTTTTAGCATTAACAAGAGAAAGCTGGTATTTTAATAATGAGCTTTTGAAAACCAGAATGGAAAAAAAAATCTGCATGTTGAGCGTAATCCTGTTTCTACTGACTTTATTCTAAACCACAGCCCACTGCTGTGGAGTGTTACCCAAAGCACCCCAGCACGCTGGCTTGGCCAAACGCTGCCCAAGGACATTCAAGGAGCCAGCCTGGTTTAGCTAGCAGTTCTTCACCAGATGGAATGCTTTGCTTTGAACATGATTGTTTTCCTCTTAAAAATATGTTTCCAGCAGCCAGAATGCAAATAAGATAATCATAATATCAAATACAGTTTTAAAGACAACTCTGGGGCCTCTATCCTTCTGTAATGGTGACAGTTTTGATCACAGAAGTTGAGTTCCAAAATTATTTAGTTTTGCACACTTTTACCTAAACTCTTCATATATCCACTCCCGTCCTTATATTTCCCTCATGTTGTACATTTAACTAAGATCCTGATATTTAATATACTTGTACTATTTGGTTAGTCCATCTTAATATACTTTTCTCAATACAGTGATAGAAAACAATTTTCTTTCAAATTGTTGGTTCCCTGGTAGGCCATATGGAAAATTGGATTGTCTTGAGTAGCTGATAATCATCCTTACAATGATAATCCAAATTGGATTGAATTTGAAGTTGTTGGGTTTTCTAACATAAAAAGCCCATCAGCTTCTCTACAAAGCTGTGACTGCCACGGTACACAACAGCATCCCACTAGATTAGGGGGCCCCAGTTAGCGTCCAGGCAGTACAGTAAAGTCTCCTCGTTAACATAGCTAACAGACAAGCCTAATGAAAAAACAAGTTACCTTCTTCAGTTTCATGCCACACAATTCCTTCCAAGTTCACGCTGGTCCCGGGCTCACAGGGTCCAAGGCATTCGGGTTCTGTTACTACTCCAACCTCGCAAGTATTTACACCCACTGAACGAGTCCGCACCAAAAGCTGCTCGACTGGTGCTGCAATATTGGATGAAGATGGGGAAAAGTAGGAAGGCAGAATCTGAGGTGTGATACTGCTGGAAATCGGAGGTGGAGGTGCAGGCACTGTAAACAGGGGATCAACCTGAAAACAACAGACAAACTTACTATAATGGTGCAGTGAGATTTCAAAAACAAATAAACAAAACAAACAAAAGAAAATCCAGTTTGCTAAGACTTCATTTGTGTATGTAGGGATTTGGAGTGATTTCAGTCTTAAGAGATCAACTATATATTTTTTTTTTTTAACATCAGCTGAAATGCTGCACATGAGAAATTAAACACAAAAAATTCATCATGCTAAATAAGGCAAATTACTAAATTTCTCCAAGACTATTCCCTGTTGTCAGAGACTGTTAGCATGAAATAATAATAAAAAAAAWWAWAAAAAAAAAAGGATTAAAGATACTTTTTTTCTTGGCACTGACAGAGACTGATTTGCAAATGAAAATTAATTTTGCAAACTGGGAACTGCATTTTTTATTTGAAGAAAACATGTAGAAAGACAATACAAAGACATACAAATGCAATTGTTTTTCCTGAGCATCCCAGAAAAAAATAGCACTTGGAACAATCCCAATATCCATATGCCATCAAACATAATCTCTTGTCATCCAATCAGATAAAATATACTAGGATCACCCACCTAACAGCTTACAGACAACATTTACATCTTTCTACTTGAAATAACAGATGAGGATTTTTACAAGAATCTATCCAATCCATCTAATTTCTACACATTTCCAAGATGTGTAGGTGGAAAAGCACAACTTGCCAGGCAATCAGCCTATGCGCAGGCAGTTCACATCATTACATGACCTATATATGAACTAAAGAAGTTACTGATCTTGCACAGCTTCCAATACACCCTGAGAGAGATGTGCTGCACGTAGGTTTGGTGATGAAGGTGCTCAGTGTTCTATTGTCTCCACACGGGGAATCCTCCCTCCATTGTTACATATCAAAACTCATGCTTGTTTGGTTCACTGTATGATGGCTTTCACATCAAGAAAACCTGCTTTAATACAAGAGTATAGGAAAAATGCTTTCCTATATACCTGCTTTCAAACAGATGATTTCAGACAGATGATAAAACACCTTTAAGTCTGTGTAGCTTCTCTGTCTGGGTCCCTCTAAGTATGCTCAACAAAAAACACAGGCTCTCTCATATCACATTGCATAGGGTTCACACAAGTGCATCTTAATGCGGCTCAAAGCTAATTTTGCTTCCTTTTAAAGCAAGCTGGCAAATAGGCAAGGAGAGGAAAGGACTGAAGGGCATACTCTTACATCATGTATTCTTTGTAACACAGATCAGATCATGTTGATGAGCAAATGAAATATAAAGCTAAAATTGTAAAGAATGTCCTTAAAATAGCACTTTCTTAAAACGGCCCTTCAAATTGTGGATCCCTTTTCAGACTTTTTCTTTAAGCATCATTCATGCAAACAGAATCAATCCTTCTTAGTTGGGTAACCAAGCCTAAGAGTAATAAAAATCTATGTAACAGAAGAACTTAATTTAGAGCCCAGATGCTCCCAAGGCTAAGCCGCACAGCTTTATAAAGCAAAGTAAGGCTGAAGGAACAGCCCACTTAGAAGTGTGCACACTGCTTTGGAAACCTGGGGCAAAATGCCCCAGTACCCAGCACTCTGCCCTAGAATGCTCATCCCCAAGCCCCAGGGAAAGAAACCAAACACTTAGTGTTACCATACTAAAATGGCAAGTGTTTCACATGACTCTAAGCAAAACTGTCAGATGCTGTCTTCCCATCCCAAGTATCAAAAACAGGATGGGTGAGCCAAAGCCAAAAGCCCAACTCTTAACAATGTACCCTGCTAAGTTGTTACAAATATTTGCACTTAGCTCTGGTTCATTTTGACTTGCTTATAAATGTCTGTGTTTTCCACTGAAACCATTCTGAGCAGAGAAGGCCAAAAAAGTGTCTGCATTGTGGTATAAGGCCCCACTACGGTATCAAACCCAAACACCAAGTCTTTAGTCACAAAGTAGGTGGGCATTTCCTAGCGTGGAAGTTCACATTCGATGTGCAGGTACAACCTTCCTCATTTTAAATAAATACAGAGAGCTTAAATACTGCACCAGTTTCTACCTGTTTTAAAGCTACCCCACGTTATCTGATAACTAGGCCACTGGCACAGCAAAGCAGTGGCTCTTTGCAGTACTGGAATGACACTGCTGCTTCCCTCACTCCTCCAAAGGGCACCGGTGGAAGAGGTTAGCAGCCATGAGAGATGCAGGAAGGCGGCCATCTCCATAAGAGAAAAAAAGAGGCACGTAAGTCTAAACATCTGGTGGTAGCAGCCTGTCAAACTGAGGAAAGTTAATGTCAAGAACAGATGCTCTGCAGTTTCTCACTGCTATTTGTGCATGATTATTCCCAGGTGCTGGTGCATGCTGAGCAGTAGCCTGGCTATTTATCACAACAGAGATTCCAAGAGGAGGATGAGGAGCTAAACCTGAGCAAGGTTTTTTACGCAGATCCTCTCTTAACATGTGTAACCAAAGGGCTCCTGACCCGACGGAAACATTCAGGTGGTATTTTCTTCCTTAACCACTTTCATGAGCTGATGAGTAGGGAAGGCTTGAAACAGGAACGTGACGCCCATCAACAGCCAGCACCACGGGTCTGGCTGGATCAGGCAGTGACAGCTCCTGGCAGCAGAAACCACGATAGAAGGACAGAGTCCTTCAAGGTCCCCAAGCAACACAAGCTTCTAAAATCTTGCCTGAAAATTCACTCTTTATCGCCTTTTAAAGTGATTTCTTGATAATCAAGAAAGATTCAGTGGACAGTGCTGAGCTCACAGCAGAAGGGATGTGGTTTTTAGTGAACTTCCTAGGTCAGGTAGCCCAACATGATACTATGGCCATTGGTCACATCCTAGTCCCCTTCTTGCAAGGGCAAGTCCTCACTGGACACCATCCCTTAGCTACCTCCATGGAAAACCCAGGAACGAAGAGTGATACCCAGAAACCCCCATGACTGTAACTTGCTATGGTACTAATGTGATCAAAAGGGGATTAGTTTTATCATTTCAATACAACTTTTTTTTTCCCCAGATACTTAAATAGGTGAGTTTTGATCACATCCTGCATATAGGCATTTCATTCATTTCAACTTTCATTTCAAAGCTTTCCAAGGGCATGTATCTGAAGTGTGAAATGTGTTTGCCATAAATCGCAAAATGCAAACTACATAATTTCTAGTTATAGCTTCCAAACCCCCGACAACGCCATATGATCCCTCAAAGTGTGCAAGCAGGTGTATAACTACAGAAATTATGTAGCTCCACCTTATTAATGAATATATTTCTTTGGCAGTGATCTCTGAAGGACAGGAGACAGAGCTACCAGACTAAGACACAGAAGAACACTGCTTCTTAAACCAGGAGAAAAAAAATAGAATAAAAAAACATAAGCACTGCCAGCAGAAATGGAAATGTCAGGAATGTCTGTAAAAAGAATGTGGAAGGAAGATCCCAAACCTATTATGGGATACACTTAAAAACTGACTCTTTGCAAAACTAAGCCCTTCCTTTAAGGCAGACTCCAATAAAAGACCAGAAGGAACAAGCAATTTTTCAGCTTTGAAATTGTTATCCACAAGTTTCTTGGAATTCCAAAGTTGTACTTCACAGAATCTGAAATGAAAAGCAGGAAATAAAGGAATTCATCTCCATACGGAAGTGCTACTTTTCTCCAAATTCATTTACTGAGATTTTAAAGTAAAAGGGCAGTTGACTTGTTTTTATACAACGCCTGTTCGCCCTGCATTCACACACTTCTAAAGCAACAAGGACTCCAGAAGATCTCATCCCCTTCTCATTCCCAACACCACAAACCAGAAGTTATGCTAATAATATCAATAAAACCACTTTGGAAGAAAACAAATGTGGAAGAATGTAACGTGGAAAAAATGCCTGTATGCTCAAAAGCCTCTCTCTTTTTCCATGCCTCTCATTGATCCAATAAAAGATGCCTTTTTTCCCATGAAGCCCTGCCTCACAGAGATCTTATACATCTTAAAAACAAAGCTGTCCACCCACATTCTACCATGTAATAAAAATGGATTCTTTCATCTGAATGATCTCTTTTTTTTTTTTTAATCTAATCTCACACAAGAAGACATCCAGGACCATTCTGCCATCATACTTAATAGAACTTATATGTATATGTATATGTATATGTATATATCTCAATCAGTCTGTAAGTCAGGTTTAATTATATTACTGAAATCTTTGACCATCTTTGGCCATTTTCTAAAGACATTTTATTACAAGATATTTATTATATAATAAGGACCCTTAGATGAACAAACTTTATACATCAAGTTAAAGGGGAAAAAATCCTCCAATCCCCCAAAGCACTTCACCCCTCAAAGTAGGGATTTTTTTCCCTACTGCTATGTGTAGAAAATATGATAGAAATATTATATGATTTGGCTGTAGAAAATAATTTTGATCACCAGCTAGACAGATCTGCAAGTCTTATATTCAACACAGGAAAAGTACTTACAATATCCTATGTCACTTCCATCAACTATCCAATCAGCAAACATATCTGCCAACACCTGCTCTGTGGATAATTACTTATTTCTTCCACATATAGATTTCCAGACCTCCTCAGACCATGTGGGACTGCATCAGCAGCACTTGCACAGACACAGTAATAATATGCTGTTTAGGACAATAATAATATACAATGATGATCACAAATAATAACTCAATCCTTCAGTAGAGGCTAATGCATATATAGTGGTGATAAACTCTTCTAAAAACAGACTTTCAAGGGAGATCAATAAAAAACAAGAAAAACAGCAGGCAGGGAGAATTCCATACTCCCCCTTATATATCCTATTCCAGCTGAGATACTTAGGATTTCCCAAAGCCATTCACCCATTTTAGTATGGGAAAGATTAGCATTTGACAGCTGCTGGCAATAGCCTTCTGCCAAAGGCTGCATCTGTGAAAAACTGTATGTCAACTCTGACATTTGGCAAGGGCCTGGGAGAATGCCCAAATTGCCACCTGCAAATTTCTAGTGAAGACATTTCTCCTCTC